TCGGATTCCCTGGGCTTCCCATCGATTCCCTTGGATACCAAACGGCTTGCCTAAGCACTGGGTGTTGGGACCACCTGAAGTCCTTGTGATCTTAGAGAAGCCAGCTCTTCATCTGGGCCGGTGAGTAGACCAGAGTGGATGTCCACGAGGAAAAAGGCTACCCTTTTTGTTGGTTGAAGGGGCAATCCATCCAAAGCATTCCGAGAAAACGGTGCCACTAGCTCATCCAAAGCCTCACGCAAGCCGAGCGGAAGCCAAGCTCGAATGCCGCCCTGACGTAAAATTCGTGTACCTCCTCCTGGTACTGTGCCCCCTCCTGCCTGTTCGTGAATGTGGGATTCAGGGGTTCTCTCTTGGGCAACCCCAAAGTGGGCCACAAAAAAACAAATCGCTTCTGAATCCGTGACATAGACCTAGCTGGCATCATTTTCCGGTGCCCACCCATCCTGAATCTCGAGGTCCTCGAAAAATGAAGGGCCCAGTTCCCTTGCGGAGATTTTATTTGTTTGAACGTTTGCAGTCGAGGGCAAACCTGACAAAGGGTTTCTCCTCAACTGAAGACGCCCACGCAAGCTGCAGCATCTATGTGTCTTTGTGCCAGAATGATTGGGGATGTGTCAATACTAGAACCCCAATCAGACTGGAGTTTCATGCCAGCCAAAACCTACACTTGGGAGCCGTTCATTCATGAGCACAACGGTCCCAACCCAGCATTCAATTGTGGATGCCGTCAGCGTTGCAAGTATACAAAAAAGGAAAACCCTGGATTGTCCCGCAATTGACTCTAGGTCCTCCAGTAGAGAGGTTAGAATAAGGGTACCAACTTTTTTTCTGGACGTCTATTTTAGTGGGGGAACCCTCCCCCAAAAAGGGGAAAAAGGGCACTACTGGAGGACTTAGGACTGATGGGAACTTGGAGGCGGAGGCGGTTCACGTGCAATGTGTGGTTGGAAATCCACCGCATCACGTCCCGGCGCCTGAGTCGCCTTTCGAACCTGGCGGCAAGGGTACTTTGGGTGATGGAACCCTCCGTCGCTGGCTTTTTTTAAGAGCAAACCTAAGCACCTCGAAAAAAACCCACTGCCCAAACCAAAGCACCAAACTACAGACCTTGCCATGCAACTACTCCCCGCCATGTAGTGGCTTGAGGTGCAACATAGAGTTGCTTGCCGCAGGGCTCTGTCTGTAGACCTGGCATTCCAAAATTGCCAGTCTACAAGGGTTCCAATCATCATCCCGCCCAAGGCGCGAAGGCGCGAGCATGTTGAACCTCAGAACCTCAGAACCTCAGAACCTCAGAAGCCCGGCCATTGGACAAAGCCACCCCTTCCTTCGCCCGAAACTTGGAGGGGAAGCCTATCCCGGTTGCTTTCTGCTCCCCTGCAAAAAGTGAAGGACTTTTCGTGGTTTAATACGGAAAACCCATTCGTGGCAACAAGTTAAAGTCCTAGCATCCCTTGGCAAAATGCACGTCTGAACGTCGCAAGGGGTGCCCCACGGCGGGCAATTTTTTTTCGAAATGCCGAGACGTATTCGGAAGCACGGACAGTCATCTTCTTTCAGGGTATGTGTTCTTGCGCGGTTTTCAAGGAACAGCAATTGCCAATGGGACAACCGCCAGGTTCATTTTGTCCCCCCCCTACCTACCCACAGGGCGATGTGTTGCTTCCCTTGATCACAAACAACAGGTCGATGACTGGTTGACAGGATTGGAATAGATGTCTTTCAACAGCTGCACAGCCACATTGCTATCTTGGGAAGCGGCTTCCTGGCACTGATGGCAAACAGAAGCCAACCCCAAAAAAAGACACGTGCCACCGCCACGTGAAAGCTGTATCAGAATCAAGTGGCTTCAAGCAGCAAAGCACAGCACCTATAGCCAAATGGGTATGACATTCTACTGAAATGGGCATTTCAGTCCACCAACCAAAAGGCTGTTCCAACATGCCAAACTCCAAATCAGCTAGAGCCACATATTTGTGTCTCTTGGGGGGGTTCCCTTTTCCCTTTCAAAACCCGCAAAAACGAGCACCACCAAGAGACAACCGGGTCTTCCCGGCGATGCGAGTCGAATCGATGCGCCTGAGAGTTCAAGAGGCCCCGCAGGACCTGAGCTGAAGGCGGCGCGGCGCGGCTGCACCCATTTGGCTGTGGCTCAAAAAACGTGGTAAAAGGGCACCTTGGTAAATGGAACCAAAGACTAAAACCCGCGGCTTGCCCCAGCTCTTAGATTTTGAGCCATGCCCATTTATGGCAAGGGGAGGATCGCTGACTAACCTTCACCTACCCGAGTTTTGATTGTGGCTCTGCTGTGGTTGGTTGAGTGTCGTGTGTGTTGTGTGCGCGTGCGTGCGTGAGCGTGCTTGCTTTGTTTAAAGCTTGTGCTAATGTGGTTGGCTTAGTTTTCCTGTTTGAAAACGTTGTATCAACATTCAAACGCAGCCCCCCCAACCAAACAAACATGCACAAACTTAGAAGCAACTGTTACAAGAACAACTGCCACACACGGCGAAGATGACTTTCAATGTTGGGCCCTAGCCACCTTCCCACATTTTGCCCGTATGGAATACCAGTGCCCAAGATGAAAACCCCGGGACCCCGTCCAAGAACCAATGAGGAACTGGAGAACGCTGGGAGCCATGTAGGATGAGCAGCCTCCCGCTTCAGTTCACCTTCTCGGAACCCAACACGGCTGAAGTGACTATGAAGCATCATGCCGGCGAGGTTGTTATGAGTCTCCAGTAGTTGTTGTTTTGTTGTCGACTTTGGCACAGACTCTTGGTTGACGTTGGAAGGGGAGCAAAAGTTTGAAAATTTTAGCAGCCAAGGCAGCCAAGTGGGGATTTCCCACTAAACCACAATGAGTAAACATGTAAAACGTTTCCCAACAACAACCGAGGACTTACCCGAAAACTATCTACAGCAACAAAATATGGGCCAATGTTGGAAGCAACAACAAGCTCATGGGATTCGCAGGACTGCTTCTCTATTGAACAGCTTGAACCACTTGGAGGACGGGGGTTTAAATTGGTCTGGAAATTTGACATGTCCAACTGCAAGGCGTGCAACTCAAAAAAAAAAGCAGCTTCAAACAACTCTGGGCATGGCCAGGCCACTGACATGGGGCAACTGGTATCGGATCAATAAAAAAACGTCGGTTGGGTGCTGAAAAAATGGTGGATGTGTGTTCGGTGTTCCCGACATCATGAAGCAAGCACCCAATTCAAATCGACCATAGTAACCGAACGGCGCAACCGTATGAGTAAGTCACCAAGCCAAGGTTTGTGCGCGTGAGCGTGTCCCATGTCCGTTCTTGCCGCAACATGCGCTGAAACTGCACCAAGTACTACAATCTATGATTATGTACACACCAACAGGGGATCACAAGGAATGCCCTAAGGACCTTCATATTGCTCGTGTCTGTTCGTTGCGCTTGTCTGTTCGTTGCGCTTGTCATGCATGGGGTCCAGACCTTCTCAACTTCCACTCTGAGTCAAGCAAGGACCAAGACGTTTTTCGTTGCCGCTAACATGGCCCTTTTTTTCCGGGGATTGCTGGAAGATCAATGTCCTGAAGCAACACCCTGGAGCCTTTGCGGGATACCTGGAAGATCAATGTTTGAAGCTACCGGCAACTCACGGCATCTCACGCCGACCATGCGCCTCCAGAAACCCTGGTTTATGGACCCGGGACCCGCCGAAATTGCGGTCGGTCTAAACCTCTCAAAGGCGGGTCACGCGAAAAGGTTGTACATGTCAAAGTGGAGGGTTGGACAAGAAACTGAGTGGACATACAATGTTTAAGCGTTTGGAAGCTGTACACGAGATGAGCGGGGGTGCTACTTCAACATTACTTCTCCAATAACGGGGCTTTCCTTCTTGCCTGGAACAAAGTGTTTCACCTGGCCAGGTTGCATCTTTTAACTGGGTCCATTAAAAGTGACATCCTCAAAGTGATCTTTGAACTTGTGAATTAAAGGGGGTTCCCGCACCCAAAAGTAAGTTGAGAACACTCCAAGTGCTTTGAGGGACCCGATTTTAGGCAGAGCCCTAAGATTTGGGTTGCGCCTTGGCATCCCCGCGCTGTGCATCACCGCCTGCTTTGCTAGCAGCTCGTCGTGCAAGCGAAGCACCTGCGGGGGTGGTCCGCTTGGACCAGGTTACTCTCATCTGTTTGGGTTCCACGGCAACGTGGGCGGGAGGAAAATCACTTGAGCAACACCCAACACCTGACGTATATCCTTTCAAACATGGTATGGATCTAGCAGATTCAGTGCAACTGGGCATTTGAGCCTGCCCTGCCTAGGTCAATGATGGGTTCCAGATTAACTTGCGAAAGGACGCCAACTGGACATCAACAACCAGCTGGGTGAAACCGATCAGGACCCTATATCTGGAACTTGCTGCACCTGAGCCCAGAGTACAGCAACCAGCACCCGGATACACGAGGTTTGCTCCCAATACTGGTTGCATGCACAAGTGGAGAACCTCCCCCTCCCATTATTCATGTTACATTCAATCTGCAAGTCACCCCCATATAAGAATGATGGCAATTTAGGGGGTTCATATATACCGCAGTCCCTTCACTACAGTACAAGTATGTAATGACCGTAGCTCACCTCAGCTTCTCAGATTGAGCGGTTGTCCCTTGCAAATTCCGCGGGACAACCAAGGCCAACTGACAAACAGTTGTCAGAACAGCACTGAGTCCACCAAAGTGACACTGGCAAGATGACCCAAAAGGTGCCTCAAAAGGAAGGCCGGAATGCCAAACGAGGAGCCTCCAACATCTTGATGGGTGTGGACTATAGAGCAACAATAGGTTGGGTGTAGTTCAGGCTGCGGTCTCGAAGAAAGGGGTTCTTCAAACTTCAACTGGAGGACTGTTCAACTTGAGGACTGTTTTATGGAGTTGGTATCCTTATTGGAATCCTTCAACAAGGAAACCAAAGCAGAAACCGTCAAATTCCGGGCTCCCAACATTTCAGACCCGATTTTTTCTTCCCGCCGTCGTGCAGGTCGGGCACATTCGCGCGCATTCGCTGCTCTGCGCGCGGAGCGATCAGACGGTTTGGCTTGAAGTCTCAGACTTCGGAAGCAAAGGCGCGGTCTCAGCGACGCCTAAGCCTGCGGCGAGATGTTTTTTTTCCACCGAAGCACTGGGACTCAGGGAGTCAATGGCTTTGAGCCCCTAGCCACATTTCATGAAAGGTATATAGGTTGCTTTCTGCTCCCCTGGGAAAAGTTTAACTTTTAGTGGTTTAGTGGAACCATTAGTTGGCAAAAAGTTAAAGTCCTAACAGCCAAGCAAAATGCACCAAAGGTATATGGGTTGTTTTCCCTGAGTCCCGACTTGGGGGTAGTGGAAATAGTTTTGGAAAGCTGTACCCTTCACATTTGGTGAATCGAAATAGAGGGATTTTCCAATGGAGCGGCGTTCCTTTTCTCAAAGGACCTGTGCCTTGGAAAGGCCTCCAGGGGGGGGGCTAGTGGATGTTGAGAGCCCAGAATCTTGGTTTGAAAGTCGGGTGCTTGGGCTTCTTTTGACAAATAGCCCCAGCCATTTGTAAGGTTTGCTATTTCATCAGACATGTCGGTTGTGTCCAATTTCCAAGCCCAGTCGGAACGGAACCAACGGTTCCCATGCCTGCGACAAAGAAACAGCTGCCTCTGGCCGGCTGCTACAAGCTTCCGAGCAGCAAACAAAACTCGGGTTTGGGCTTCCTGAAGGCCTACCGGGGGGCCTTTAGAAAAAACTAAGGAACCCCCCACCCCGAAGCAAACCCTGGGCCAGCCACGACCAAAAACTGCAAACTCCTATACAGAAACTACCAACCCTTGGGGCTTTGAGCATCTTGGGGACAGCTTTTGACCCTCCGAAGACCAGACCTGCGCTTCCCAATCTCGGGGTTGGAGTCTGCGCTTCTCCAAAGCAAAAATTGCCGACAGTGGGTGTCTGAGTGTCTGCCCCCCCTGGCAAAAAAAAGGAAGGAAAAGAAACAACAACAAAAAGACACAACTAGCTTGCTCAACGCAGCAAGTTGTGCTCAATTTTTGGGTTGCCCCCAAAAGGACTTGAACCCTTGCGGGGTCTTGAACCCCCGGGCCTAGAGCAGGCAGCTGGAAAAGCAACTTGTACTTTTCCTCCTGAACCAGCGGGAAGAGAACCGCCAGAATCCTCGGCCGCATTCAGCGTCTTTGAGCAGGCCAGGAACAAACTGTGCGAAAATCCACGGGGCTAAAATGGCCATGCGAAACCAGCAAACAAACAAAGAAACAAACAAAGAAACAAAGAAACAAACAATCAATCAAGCGCCGCACAATCGCGCAAACAGCCACACAAGCAACCAAACGAAAGCAAGCAATCATACAAGCAAGCAAATGCAAGCAAACAAGCGAGTAAGCGAGTAAGTCAAGAAGCAAGCAGCAAGCAACTAAGCGAACGCATTCCACACTCAAAACAACGTATATACCTGCCCAAGTTGGCTTTAGTGATCCCTCACTTGCAGTGAGCGTACAGTGCAAGGCTCAAATGCGGAAGAGATCGAATGCAAAACATATTGCATAGAGAAGTGCCTGTTTGACACTGTGCTACAGTTTTCCATGTGCTTGCAATGTATGTGTGTGTGTGCCTCCCAAACCGCCAGGGAAAATCACCCATGGTTTGAATCCCCAGATGAGACTAGGATCGCATTTTGAAGGTTCCCTAATTTTGGGAGGGGAATCGCCCACTGGGTCCTCCAGATTTGAGAGGTTAGAATAAGGGTACCCGAGTTTTTTTTCTGTAGTCTCTTTTAGGGGAACCCTCCCCCAAAAAAGGGGAGAGCAGGGCACTACTGGGGGACCTAGCCCATTACTTCAGGGTTGTGGGAAATGACCACTTCTGTGATACAACAAAAAGGGCTTCCCAAAACCTTCCCCCTGGATAAAGGGGGAGACTCCCTTGTATCACAGAAGTGGGGATAAACCCTTTGGTCCCACAACCCTGCATTACTTGGTTAAAGATGATCTATCAACCTGAGCTGCACTCTCTCCAGACTCGCACCCTGCGGGTCCAAGGGAATCCAGAACGACGTCGGCAAGGCCTTTGCCTTCGCCCCACGAGTGGCAAGTCAGACGTTGGTCAACCAAAAAGAACCAAAACCACTTCTAAAACGTGGATCGCGTGTGGAAAATGACCAAATTATGGTCAGCTTGTGGACAAAAACAAATCCGAACCTTAGTTGATCGTGGATTGTGCTTGAGAGGTCAGATGTTTTCATGACCTAAACCTCGGTTGCTTTCTGCTCCCCTGCTAAAAGTTTAACTTTTAGTGGTTTAATGAAAAACCCATCAGTTGGCAACAAGTTTAAAGTCCTAACATCCCTTGGCAAAGCACCAAAGAAACGATGCCCACGTTCAACCAATCCGGGTTTGGAAATCGATTTCTCACAGCCGGGGCTCCGGAAGATGGCAGTGGCAGCCGCCACGCGGCCGAACCAATCGAGCAGCGTTTCCCTCAGCCGGAAGCGGGCCATCGGCGTGCAGGTGTGCATGCCTTAAGGCTCAAGACGCCGATTCTGTGTACGTTTATATATATATATGTATTAACGTATATCAGATATGTATATATATATATGGTTCAATATGTATATATGTATATACATATATATATATATATATATGGTTCAATATGTATATATATATATGGTTCAATATGTATATGTGTGTATATATATATATACATATATGTATGGTTCAATATGTATATATATATATATATATTTGTGGCTCAATATGTATATATGTATATATATATATATATGGTTCAGTATCTATATATATATATATATAGTGAGGCATGGGCTCACAGAAACTCTGAGTGGGTACACTTGGGCAGATATGATGCCGAGTGGAAGGGACCAACGATGCGTGGCCTGCCCGTGCCGCTAAGACTGTCCTGCTGGACACAATTTGGGTATCCGGACCATGTGGCTGTGGCCCATTCAAAAAACCGGAATACCAAATGGGTTGCCCGATCGGTAAGTGGAAACATGGGTACCAAAGTGTGCCCCTTATGTTTAATTTTGAGCCACACCCATGTTGGCTCATCTTCGCAAGGGTGGAGTCCTGGACTCCAGGGCAATACAACAATTGTTAAATGGTGTGTCGAAACTCCGGTGTCCTGAAATTCGGACATGGTTGATTCATAGGGGGGTCTGGGGGCCGTAGTCAGTAGGCCCCCAGGTCAGCTCATGTCGTGCTCTACCCATGGGCGTGAAATGCAAGACTGGTCCTCCAAAGTGGCTGAAGGATCTCTAGCGAAAGCTAGCAACTGCAGGTGAGGATCTTAGGATTCTGGATCACAGTTGCCTGGCGTGCCTTGAGAGCTAACGCACGAGTGTGGGAAAAATTCGCCGCAAAGTTGCGAAGGGTTCTCTCGTAGAAAGGCATTCAACAGGCTGATGCCTCCCAAATAATCACGCCGTTACCCTGCACATGCCGCTACGAGCAATGCCTCCAAATCCTTAAACATCAAAATATCCTCTTCAGCTAACCTCTCCTCTATTTTTCTGAAATGGAACAACTCAGGCATTTGCTTCCTCGACTCTTTTCAATACGACTCTGACAATTGTGATGCTTCCTCAAATATGCCACTCTGCACAGGTTCTTCAGCCATTCTGGCAAGAACAAAAAAACACAGATCTTTCTAAGGGGTAGCTGTTTGCAATTTGCATCTGTGCAGACCAGTGTACAGATCACTGAGTCTCCTTATTCCACTGAGCAACCTAGACAGAATAGATGGGCATGAACAAAACAATCGAAACCCATCCATGCTCTGGTGGTAGTTCTGTCAAGTTGAAGCCACCCCATGGGTTGTTTTGCTCCCGAAGACACGCACCCAATGGGTCACGAGTCAAAAGCCACCTGCAGGCGCCTGCAGGATCCCGCAGGGGCGGTCCAATTTGGGGCTCCCACGCCTGAAGCACCTTGCGCCCCATGCGCAAAATGTTCGTTTGGTGGACATCTAGGTCCTCCAGCAAAGAGCTTAGAATAAGTGGGTACCATTTGTTTTTTCTTGTTTGTCTATTTTAGTAGGGGAACCCTCTCCTAAGGGTAGAAGGGCACAACTGGGGGACCTAGTCATGGGCCAATGAAAAATGTTGCAACCGCCTGCCACCTACCATATTGAAGAGTGCCTTTGCATCCAACATCTTACTCCCTGTGTTACACTGGATATTCTTCCCCTCCGTTTTCAAGGGGGTTTGCAAAGGGGATTCCTTCATTTGGGCGCTGCACTTTCTGCCGAGGTGCCAGATGTCGTTTACGAAGCGGTAGACCTGCACGCTGTGCGTCCCGGGCATTGCCAGCTTCAGTGGCCATCCTGAGACAGAGATGCCTCCCGGCAACTCAACCGGAAACCTAAAGGGGGTTCCCTACAGGACAATCCAAGCGAGCACCTTGGAGACAGTTAGGGAGGAGGGCACCAAGGTTTGCAAAGTGTTGCCTTCCAGGATGACACTTCTAGCACTCAGGGCAAAATGTTGGTCAGGGGCAAGTTGATTTACTGATTCGTCCGGCAAATATGCACGACTTGCCATATCTCGCAACCTGAACATGAAAACAACCAATCCCCTCAGGAGTTTCATCACTCCCAAATGAGCTCAGTATGATTTGCCCAAACGAGCGATTTTGTGCCATCGTGGCATTTGGAGCCATACATGTTAAGAAAGACACAGGCAAGCCCCTGCAATCCAAATGAAAGATCTCTCTTTAAAGCCGCTCCCCTTTTGTTGGACAGTGTTTGAAGGGAGTTACCCAGAAAGGTTTTGCTCCGGGGTCATTGCCACTGGGAACCAAGCACAAGTCCAAGACGTAGGCGTTGATATTTGCGTTGAGGAAATCGCGTTGAACGACCCTCTCTCGACCTCCCTAAGCCCTAAGCCAACGGCAACGCGTTCAATCTTCAATTTCCAGAGCGAAAATCCAGCGGCCAAAGTTCAAGCGACATCGTGCGTTCGCGCCAGAATGTAGCACATCAGTGCACTGGATGACAGATTCCAGATTGACCAGAGTCGGAAACAAAGGGGCCGTCACCAATTGTATCCTCCTCTGCTATTTTAGGTGTGTGCGTGAGTCGGTTGCTTCAGACTGCCGTCCAATCGATTTCATGTCCGCTGCAAGCCTGCTCAATGCGCGGAAAAAAAAAAGAAGAAAAAAACACAATCCATCTTGGCGGTTGGTCTGCGGTTGACCCTCACTTTGCACTCTTGCACCAGGCCCTTGCATTCCTCCTGCATGTGCAGCTCACTCCAAAGTTTGAGGAACCCAAATGTACCCTGTCGCATTTGGCGGTCGTATTAACAGGAGCGCTCTGCACAAATCCGGGGATGGCCCAATATCTTTGCACAAAATAATACCAAAAGGGGTCAGAAGGCAAACCCTGTGTAGCCGCGGAGCCTAGCTGATGCAGGGGTTGCTGGGGAGTTTCATGTGTGCCATGGTCAATATGCCCAAAATATGGGTCGTGGTTATGGGAACAGGAATCCTCGCAATAGTTGCCTACCATCCTTACCAAGCCCCCAAGTAGAGGGATGCTTTGACCTTGCGGCTTGACGATCAGAGACTAGCACCCTCTGGTGGAGGGGGTGCTCTGACCAAGGCACACACGGTGGCAAGCTCTCACCAAAATCTGTTGGCGGGGAAAAACACATGGTGCAACTGGCCCCCATGCTGAAAAATGCAGAGTTCCCTGCGAAGTGGCGAAGATGAAGGATGACACCACAAAAAAATGCTTTGCAATCCCTGCAAATTGAGATCTAACTCTTGCTCCCACAAACAGATTACTCTAAACAAACGTGTTCTTTGTTGGTTCCCTGTTAATCTGCAGAATATTAATTCCAGCTTAGTCTACGTTGCCATCTTGGAATGCTGAGTTTTTCATTGGTTTGCGAAGAGTCCGGACTGACTCAGCCGTTCGGCGTGCTTCGGCGCAACAGACTGGACAAGAACGAAAGCACACACATCGTGCGGAAGTGGCAAACCTGAGAAGCTAAGCAGAAAAGCAAACCAACAAAATACAAGAAACCACCGGCCTCAAACAACTCATGCAAGCAAACAACACAATTTTCTGAAGGCACAGCCTACTAAATCTAGCAAAGTCACGTGATCGAAACAGGCCATGGTAAGGTTCGAAAAATAGCAATCCGTACGTTGTAATTGATCCCCATCAAATGATGGTTGAAGACGATAACCCGGGACAAGCACCCATTCTCATTTTAGGCAGGGCGCGCCAGTTTGCGACACACCCCTATGAATTCGAGCCGAGCATCGCTCGGCGGTGTCGTTGGTCGTCGTCTCAATCGCAACGTTATAGGATTCAGGCAGCATGGTTGTGCCCTCGGCAAAAGATCGGCGTGGCGACGCCCACTTTCACGGAATGCTGCCCGAATGAGTTTTTTCCCGTGAAAAGGCGGGTGGTCAAACTTCAGCCCTGGGAAAAGAAACCACAAGCACTGCCATCTGCCAATGTTCTGCCTTGAGCCTTGCGGCTTGGCATGGAGGTTCCGGCTATATACATGAAGGAACCGGGCAAAAACCTAGCTCGCGTGTTCCTGGTGTTCATGCCATTAAGTGCTAGCTTCCTTCCTTGCATGACTAGGACTTGACAAGGGGCTACGTGAATTTTGGCATTGTGCCACACTCACAGCGAACACCATCAAAATCCAAGTGCCTGGCATGTTTGTTCAAGGAACGAGGACTTGCCCCTTTGATGCATGTGTTTAGGGGACCAATTGAAACAGTGGCCACGTTTCCTGCAATCAGGAAAAAAACAACTCCATTTCTTCAGCTTTGGTCAGCATGATGCATCATCCATCAACGCCAAGAGGTCGAACTGCCTCCCCATGTCACATCCTCCATTTACTCGCAAGGACATGGGTCGCTTTTGCAAGCCAGCTGAAGCCTTTTTCAGAATCAACTAGACTTATTGTCTAACGTTCGAGTCTGCTTGGTTTGGAACAGCTAAGGTTTGTGTGAGCCAAAACACCTCACCGTGCAAGACGAACATAAACCAAGGGATGTCAAGGCCCGCATGAGGTTTGGGTTGTAAAAAACACCGAGGAACTGACAAACTTCTAGGGGTTGATTCCCCATTCTCTTCAATTTTTCAACCATCGTGCTTTTCAAAAACAGCCGTTTTCAACCTGGGCTTCCGGATGTTTTCTAGAAAGATTCGGATCCCAGAGGGCTTGACCCCATTGCTCTGATCAAGTCTGACCGCCCGCAAGGACTGACTGATCGGGATGGCTGAGAAAGCGAAGGGAAGGGTTTTGGTTGTGAGAAGGTGCAGCCAAAAGTAAATAAACCCTGGACAGACTCCCTGTTGAACAGGGCCCTGTTGGCTCCTTTTCAGGCAAAAACTTGGCATAGGAAAAGCAATCCGGAGTTACTTTTAGAGCAAGTATCCTTACGTGCTCCGATTCTCGTCCAACACCGGAGCTCCCGATAGTTCTCTCTTAAACATCACTCTACCAAAAGGAAACTCATCCAAAAGTAGCCCAAAGGTGATTTCTAAACGGGCTGCAGAGGGAACTACGACTGTCTAAAAAGGGCCCTGGGGCCACTTTTTTTGGCTTGAGGCGCTGAGAAGAAGAAGGTGTCGTTGCAGGGCGCGCCGCGGCGACCGCCCAGGGAATCGCTCCAGGAGGCGAAAGCGTAGCGCTGGGTGACGATGATCCTGGCGCGTGGACGTCACAGACCCCACGCAGCACCCCCCCACCAAACGCCCTCCCCCGGACATATCCAAACACACTCCCCTGAGGAAGACTAAACGCCAAAGCTCAAGGTGTGTTTGGGTGGGTGGTGTGATTTGGGGTGCCAGGAACAGCTTTCCAATGAACGAGGAAACCACACTGCTCAAGTGGGAAAAACGACACCTGGACCCTCAAAATACCCTGGACAACTGGTTATAATAGCAAAAACAAATGGTTGGTGAATTCCCTTTAAGGGTAGTTTGTATGCAATGGTTGTCCAAACGCTTTTCCCAAAGGCTTTTTGAAGGCCGAGTCGGACGTCGATTTCCCATTGATTTCCTTGGGTGTTGTGGAGCGTGAAGCGGTTGGTGAGCCGGTTCCGCCCCGTTTTGCTAGGACACGCAAGCCCGAACAAGCATCTCTGAGGTCCGCCATGAATTTCCCCTCATACTTACATGTGACCAAAGGATGGTTGGTTGCCGAGCCCACTTTACTCCTCTGAGATCAGCATGGAACCCAAAAGCCACCATGTTTAGAGGAATCTGCTTTAGGATCCCGGATCCCTTTGGCTTCCAAAGGGGAGTATAATATTGCAAGCGATCAATTCCGGGCTGTGCTGTGCACATCCAACCCAAGCCGGGCTTCAGCATGGGCAAAACAACTGAATCAAAACCGGGAGCCCCCACCTTGCACCATTTCCGGAAATGTGAGCAACACGCGTTACTTCAATCCATCGCCTAGGGAGTTAGCCTTGCACAGAAGCGAAAATCCATCAGGGTGATGCCTGCCTCTCAAGAAGAGCCACCGCGAGCCTCACAGTCTGGTCACAGCCAAGAACTGAGACCCGCCCAAGTTGCTTGCTCTTGGTTCCCCTTTCAACCGATAAACGGGTACCTTCCCTCAGCCAAACGGAAACCAATCTTGGTTTCATCGAGGCTCCTGCGCTTGCCGGTGGAGTTCACCACGGGGATGAGAAACGTGGAGATCCGCTCTTCTTGGACGGCATGCTTGTTGGTCGGGTCCTGGCACGAGACGACCTGTGGATAGACGAAATCTATTTCGCATCACCGTTCAGAAACCCTGGAATTCGGATTCCCCTGTAAATTCCAGCAAAGAATGGTGTCCCATGGTTTCAAAGTGGTGCGAAATGGATTTCGTCCATCAGCACGGCCCCATTATGGGAAGGGCGCAGGGTCCAGCCCTAGAGTTGGTGTGGGTACCTTTGGGCGGTGCCCCCGGGCCCTCGAAAAGGCAAAACATATCTCAGCTAGGTCAGAACTGTTAGAATAAGTTGGTACCAACTTTTTCTTCCGTAGTCTGTTTTAGTAGGGGAACCCGCCCAACCGAAAAAGGGGTTAAAAAGGGCACTACTGGGTGACCTAGTCAATATAATATTGAGTATATAATATTGAGGGCAAAATGGATGTGTCGGTACACTGTGCACAAGAATGGTTTAGGCGACAAAAGTGCGAAGCCAACAAGGCTTTGTCAACCTTTGCGAACCCAACCAAGGTGTGTGAACCTTTGCGAAGCACATCTACAGCTTAGAAAAGGCCGAAGCGCCCAAGCTGGCAAGCCTAGCCGGCGTTATGTTCGAACGGAGGTTAGGCGAACCCCAGGCGAGGCGAAGCTGCGCGAACGTATTTTTGCCGTTCCCATCAAGTAATGACCACATAGGTTTTGCCCTGAAATATGATCGTCAGTGACTCAAGTACTTTGCAGGCAACTCTCAAGGGATTCTTGCGGAATTGGGAAAAAGTGTCTTGCTTTTGAGGGCACATCGACTCTGTCGTTGCACGTACGTCCCTATTCTATTCTTCGATGGGGTCCCCAAACTGTAAACCTAAAAGGGATATCAACAAAGGGCGGGGTTCTCTCATTCGACCCGGAATAATTGATTTGAATCATGGTTGGTGTGGCTACATCTGGAAACGCCAAAATTCATTCGGCCTCTTCCTTCAAGGAAACTTCAAGACTTGATGTGCCTCCAAAGTCTGCGCAAAATCAAACCCTGATGTGAGAATATGGGATCCTTGGGCGGATTTGGATTGTGCATACATGTGCATATACATCTATTAAACAATAATATGCCTATTGTGGTGGACGTGGATGGCAATGATTCCCCCCTTGTCTTTATTGCAAACATAGGTCCTCGTGTATCATGTGTGTATGCAAGTTCACTTGGCACCTGTGAATTCTTGAAATGGCTGATGTCATGTGCCTCCAAGGAGCCCCAAGGGAGGGCCAAGGAGGCGTCACGCTTCGTAGCTCGTTTTGGGGGGCTTTTGGGCCGGTGCTGTTTTGCGGCTACCCGTTTTTTCGTCTAAAAGGACACCACCCATCTTGAGGACTCCCTGGAGACAAACCCATGGTGTTTCCAAAAAAGGGGGCGATGCCCTCGATGGGCGCCTTCAGCTAAACTTGCTCAAAGCCATCAAGGGCACCCCGACAATACACTGCAGTCCTTGGTGTCGCCGCGACCAATGGGATTTGCCGCATCCCTTTTGTGGAAGTGGGTGAAGGTTCTGAAGTACTTGTCAACATGGTACGTACCCTTCAACAAAAACTCACGCTCGCAACAAAAAAAGCAGGTCGAGCATACGCGCGATCGCGGCAAAGATCACGAACATGTTTCTGCTTCTGTGACCCTAGAGCAAGTTTTGACTAATTAATTACGATGTTGTGAAACACGTTGTTTGTGCTGCGCTTGCGATCCTTATCCTTCTCTTCAACCGAATGTGGGCCCGCACGTTGGACATGAGAACCTTGCTCAACGCGCGGGTCCGTTTGACCCTCCAAAGTCTTACTTTCAACGTGCGGGTCGGCTCACTTTTCGCAACATTGCGAGGCCAGGAGTTTAAGCCGCACATGTCAACATTTCGAAACTTGCGTTTGCCCCACAGGATTGCAAAACCTTCTTACATTGCGTGAGGGCGAAGGTCGCAAGGCAAAGCCGTGCGAAGATTTGAGGAGAATCCAAGCTGATGCTTTTCTCAACAGGCGGGCGTAGCGGCTGAGTCACCCAAGTGGAGCAGGATCGACTTCCTGACAAGCATGTCCGCGTCGAAACCAAACATTTTGCCGGGCAACCCCAAACCTAAACTCAAAACCATTCAATTGCGATACGCGTTTCCAAAACTTTCGCACGGCGAAGTCCCCAAGTCCTGGCTCGCATGAAGCAGCGTGGTTGACCCGTTGGTTTCGCATCGAGCGTGACATTCGCTCACGGCGCCGACTTGTCAAAAATTGGCGCTCGTAGCCCACCAAAAACGCTGGCAAGGGAAGCGGTGTGTTCGCGACATAATAAGAGCGTTCTTTCCTGCCCACCAACTGCTTTGATCCAGTTCACCTTGTCCTGAATGAGTCGCTTTCGTCTGCTCATCTGCTTGCTTCTCGCTGTCTGTGTTGGACGTGTTCTTTTTTTGATGCGCAACACGGCGCACACGTCCATGCCCTTGTGACTGGTCCGGCTTGCCATCATTTACGGACCGACACCAAGAGATTCCAGAGAGTCTGCGCCAGTTGCTAGTTTATCCCAGTATGGGCTTGCATCCATCCCAAATGGTGCCACCAATGGTGCCTTGTCCAGCCACTGCAAAAAAAACACCAACCCCGGTGCTAGGCAGGTCACTACCGGTAACCCTTTCGAGTTCCTTACACTCTAGAATATACCCATTCATGGCTTCCAGCCTGGTTACCATACTGTGGATGGACGAAATCCTGCACCACTCCCTGGAACGACGATTCCCCTGTAAATACCAACAAACAAATGGTTTCCCATGCTTCAAATAGTTTCAGGATGTTGTCCATCCACAGTATGGCTTGCCTGGAAGCAGCTACCATTTAGCTTGATATCCCCCTCCCTCCTCGGCCAGTGACGGGCGCAGGAAGACACCATCCACAAAGGTACCTTCAGAACGGAACGCGCGCGGTCATGGCCCATTTGGCTGTGGTTGTCAAAACTTTTTTGGGATCCCATTTTGGTGGGTAGGTGAATTCACCACCCATTTTAGGCTTCCTATTTTTGGTGATCGGATGTTCACTAGGGGGTACGATTTGGATTTTGACCCATGGCCATTTCATCCCTCCGGCTGACTTTTGGTTCTACGTTGGATTCCCACCTATAGTGAACCAAAAAAACGTCCAACCACAAAACCCTGGTAAATTACAGCAAAATACAGGCCGGATGGATCTCGTCCACTACTTGCAATGTTTCGGACATCCACCGTACCAGCAAAGGTTTGCATCGCCCTTTCTATAACCACGCAGCCAGCTAGAACCGGCTTTGGGCGCTGCTCATTTGCTGTTGGGACAGGCTTGCGGACAACCTACAGTTTCTGTGACTATGGGCCACTCTATGGCTTTTTGGCAAAGGGTTGCCCTTCATGTCACAGGGGAAGTAGCCACTGGACATCCGAGCTCCAAAGTTGTCCAGGCTCCGTAAAGTCGCTTTTGGAGGATCCGGTTGGCCTCCTCTGGCCAAATCTTCATCCGGGATTACTCATCCGCTCCACTCATTTCTGGACCCATTGTCCGGCCATCTCTGGAATAGGCAAAGGAAATTGCATTTGGTACAGGGGCACACCCTTTGCGCGCTTGCTCAACCTGGATGTTTCAAGCAACTGTAGCAATTCATTTGCTGATTCCGGATAGTGCACTTTTCAGGGCAAAAGCATATAGGCAATAGCTTTTGTAACTTGAATATGTAGTGTGTTGGTTTTGGAGTTTGCAAACAGGAGCAAAAACGGACGTCTTTAATCGGGGGATTGCGGGACATGTGAAAGCCAAAGGGGGTGGCTGGCATTCGGGAGGAAAAAGGTGACTGCTTCCGTGGTTTATTCTTCATGCCCCCCAAAAGAACCCCTCGCGTTTCATTTTCAGGTAAGGATCACCAGAGTCCAGCCCGTAGTGCCCCTGAGCTCCATCGCTTATATTGATATCAGAAAAATGGTTATAACAAGAAGCAAATCCAGAAAACCCATTCGGTTGCCGCAAACAAAGGCAGGCGATGCGGAGATTCCCACATCACAGCCGTGCACACCTTCCCACCAATTCTTGTCTTGCCATACAGATGGTGCTTGAAACCATGCACACCCATATATGGTGTTTTTTGTTTTCAGGCTACCCTTTTTTATGTTTTCCGCGTAAGAAACAAACAAACTTCCCGCATTCTTTCGGTGTCTCGGAGACAAAGCGCCATATTTTGCCCATGGGTTAAATTCCCGTACCCCCAGTGAGCATCCCAATCCTAGGTTCTGAAACGGGTGAACTCACCTAGCCCAAAATGGGATCCGATTGGTTTTAACCGGTGCCAAAATGGAACCCTGGCAAGTGGAAGCATGGACCAAAACCTGCGGTTTGCCCCTCCGATCGTTTAATTTTGACCCACGGCCGTATTTCTCGGGGCACCATTGTAGCTCAGCATTTGCGCTGGCACCTCGCCCTCCACACGCAGGTCGATGCCCATGTAGGGGGACTGGAGAAGCGCTCAGGTGGCATGCAGGGCATGCAAAAGATTCGACCCAGTCCCTTTGACTAGAAAAAGGGTACCAACTTTTTTTTCTGTAGTCTGTTTTAGTAGGGGAACCCTCTCCCAAACAGGGCAAAAGGGCACTACTGGGGGACCTAGCTGATTTCCGTTGAAGGCCTGGTTGCTCAAGGGGAGCAGCTGGTTCGCCGCCGTGGCACTGTCATCACTGCGTATCTTTCGAGTGGTTTTCAAGGGGCGGGGGGGGAAAGGGGGGGAGGGGGGGAATGATGACGTTCGCTAGACACAGCCGGCTGCCTTGTTTGAACAAAATTGCCCAGCTGGGCCCGCAAGTTGTGCGTTTTTCTGCAACCCGGAGTCTGGGCGGTAAGCGAAATAGGAACCAGCTGGTGGGTTCCGTGCAAGTGGGTAGACGACAACCAACTGTGGCTGCTTGGTCTTCCCAAAGGACAACATTCAAAAACTGGGCAAGTGATGATACTTGGAAAAAAGAAAAGTAAAGGCACCAAGTTCAGACCCTGATGCCATTCGCACAGGGCGCTCCTTCTTTTGCTGATTGGCGCTTGTAGGATCCTCCACCTTCAAACAAATGCGGTGAAGGTCTGCGAAATTACCCGTCTCGGAAAACCCGAACGCGTGTCTGATCACAGCAGTTGACACCCAAACATACATAGATTCCTTAAGAAGTTTATGGCCGCCCCGTCGGCGCATCAAAAAACAGTCATAAAACCATTGCCACAGTTGAAAGCGGCTTGGGCAACATGGGGTACAGCCAGTACATAGCATGGGGCTAGTAGTCTGGCCCTGATATTGTACCAAAGCCACCTCTTCATCAGGCTGAAAGGAAACTAACCCATGTTCCAACTTTGAAATCTGGAAACTATCAACAAAAGAAGCTTCCCCCTCATTCGCGACTTGGTGTTGAAACGGAGTCCCATTTCTCTACAAGAATCAGGGATTACTTTTTTCCAAACCAATCCAACAATCCCAGCTCCTTGGCAAGTTCGATGATCAAATACTGGTTCAGCGCTTGGGGTACTGTGACACACGCGCAGGAAACGGCACAAACAGGGCGGGCTGAAACACCAGCCTACCGGTGGGACATCCCAACTACTAAGGGCCACCTGAACTTGGTCCTCCAGATTTGGAGGTTAGAATAAGGGTACCCACTTTTTTCTGTAGTCTATTGTAGGGGGACCCTCCCAACCAAAAAAGGTGAGCACCTGGCTGGGGGACCTAGTGCAGAAGGAACCCCACAAGTCCTTGAATCTGAACATCGCCTTTAGCCCAGGCGCGGCATGATGGCCTCCATGGGCACCTTGCTTCTGAAGAGGGCACCAATCGCTGGGGGGCCGAGTGAAAAAAACCGGCGCCCAAAAGGACCCCCCCCATCGGATCGATCTGATCGGATCGCGCCTCGGCGGCCTGCGGCAGCCTGGTGCCGGCAGAGAAGCGCCGGCACTGAAACTCCTCCGGGAGACGGCCATCCGACACCCCGCCCGTAGTTGTTTTTTTGGGGGGAGCCATCCATTGTATCACCCAGGGGTAAGGGCCATGCGGTGCTTCTACTAGTTACCCTTCGTTCTTGTTTTTTGTTAAATTAGCTATCCATGAAATTGTGTTTTTCCCGCCAGAATATAAAACCCGAAAGGTGACCTACCATAGCAATTGATTCTAAGTATTCAATGCGATATGTGTCTTGTCATCTGTATCTTATGATGTTTACATCATATTCTATCTCTTTCCTTACTGTGATTCCCTTAAAGAAGTAATAAACAGACATATAACAATAGAATTACAACTGCAATATTTGCTAGTTGAGGCTGCAAGAAATGAAGACGTGAGTGAGCGAGAGAGAGAGAGAGAAAAGAAGAAGAACATCAAGACAATAATTAGCAAGACATCATGCTAACCCATAAGCACAACATCACAAGAAAACAAGATTAGAATGGCACCAGTCGCCAGTTGTCTCTATCTCCTGTCTGCGCAATCTCTCTGTCTTCTCTTTGCCTTGTCTACCACCTGTCCTACCGGGTTCGATCCCGGGGTCAAGGGACTCACCTCACGGCCAACTCTGTGGCTTAACGGTTGATGCAAACATAGCTAGGGAAGCGTTGATCCACTCCGTCTATCTCATTTATCTGGGCCGCCCTCAGATCCCCCGCAAGTGAACAACTTTTGGTGGGTCAAATGAAAACAACCACTAAACACTACTAAGCTCTAAAAGGCTAAGGGACCGGATGGCCTTCGGGAGCCACCAAGTTCTCTTCCTTTTGTATCTTACGCTCTTTCTTGTTCAACATCCACCTTCACGCAGTCCTTCGGTGCTCAAATACACAAATGAACAAGGAATGGAACACTTGGGGATCTCTGGAGTCAAGAGATCTACAGCGTACCTGCGACAAAGGTAGACCAAGAGACCGCTCACGCATTGAAGCACTGGGAGGCATGCATGAAACCCAGCACCCCCGCAAAACAACACACAGCCTTTGGCCTGGTAGCAGTGTCAGTAATGCGTGTCTCGTTGTAGAATGTGATGTGTTTGTGTTTAGTGGTTGCACATGTGGTGTGTGTGTGTGTGTTGCATGTGTGTGTGTGTGTGCGTGTGCGCGTTGCTCTCTCCGTGCACAGTGACATATTGTGCAAATTATTGTCACACTCGGGCAGTGACTGTAAACAGTAGAGTATTTGGCAAGGAATAATGCGTCTGTCAATCAAATAACTGCATGCTGACATATTCAACACTGCATTTTGACAAGTCTTGCGACACACTGCACTTTGCATTGTGATTGCTTGTAAATGCGTGCAAGAACTGTAAGCCGGCACACTCCATAGATTTGTGGATTCCCCCAAAACTACCTTTAGCGTAATGATTTCGCAAGATCACGAGCAAACAGCACAATCTGAGAGCAATTTGTGTGAGTTGGCTAGTTCTTTGCTTTGTTGTCTTTTCTGTCATTTGTTGGGGTTCTTGAACTTTTCCAACAGATCCGTGTGTGCGTGTGTCCCCATTTGCTGCAAGCATCCAAGAATCCCGTGCTTGCTCGTGCTTTTGTGGACAACATTGGTTTCCGCAGTCAACGCCTGGAGATCATCTTTGCAAACGCGCAACAGATGGACTGTTCCAAAAAATATGGTTCGCTTGCGAAACACACCTGGACTCCGGCTTACTTCTAGTACCATACCCAATGCATTGAACAAACCACGCTTTGCAGCCAAGGCAGGTCTTTGGAGCAGACTGTTGCAGACCAAGTTCCATCTGTTTTTGTGGGCAAGGTGCACTACAACAATGGGAAAGAACTGCCCATGTTGCGTTTTGGCCAGACTTGTGCAAACAAACAAAGGTGGCTGCCTGCTTTTTGGGGTTTCCCAAGCTGAAAAGGGCCACCCCTCCCCCCTCCACACAAACAAGGGTGGCTGTTGTTGGGGGTTTCCCAAGCTGAACATTGGGCCACGGCCGTCTTCGCCCGGCACAATTGGGCCTCGGAGATCTGATACGCCTTGGCCTCCGGAGAGGAGATCTGCTTCTTGACAATCACCTGCGCGGATCTGGGTGAATTAAAATATGGCTGTGGTCGTCAAAAATAGGGTAACCCCGAAATGGAACCCTGGTACATGGAACCAAGGACTAAAACCTGCTGTCCCCTAGTGGTTTAATTTTGACCCACACTCATACTTCACCAACCTGATATAAAATGGATGAAGGCTATTCCCTACATAAACCACCATTTGGGGGTGAGGTCGTGGTCGTTAGAATTCACCCAGACGGATCCGAGTTTTTTTCCACCCTCTCTGGACATGGGGGTCCCTTTGTGCTTGTCTAGGTCCTCCAGATTTGAGAGCTTAGAATAAGAGTACCCATGTTTTTTTCTGGACGTCTATGTTAGTAGAGGAACCCTCCCAACCAAAAAGGGGTTAAAAAGGGCACTACAGGGCGACCTAGTTGTGCTTCTGAACTCCGGAGAGTCGCTTGTTCCTTTTTCCGTCGATATGAGCATTGTGGGTGAAAATTCATCCAACAGGGGACCGCGGTTTTAGTCGATTGTTCATTTCCCAGAATTGCATGTTCGATACCATGTTCTGACCCACAGGCATAGGATTCCCTCCCTTGAGCATGGGAATCACTTTGTGGTTCTGAACTCCAGAGAGTCGCTTGTTCCTTTTTCCATGAACAGTTTAGTGAGTCGCCCAGAAACTCCGAGTTGACTGACTTCAAAGGAAACAGATCGCCAGTGCAACAGGAGAACAGCAACACGGAGCCTTGGTTATCTCAGGGAATAGTTGTACCCTGAGATGAGTGAGCAAGGCACACCAGCATGTAGCACATGTAGCTTGTGGAGCCACTTGTCCTAAAAAATCGCCAACTGGCTACCTTGCCGAAAACAAGCATCGGCGCCGACCGGAACGCTCTTTCCGGTTTCATCTTTGTTTCTGAGAAATTGTCTCCTTTTACTGGTGACTTCGCCTACGGGTGAGAAATTCTCACGGCCCGAAGCGCCGACCTGTCTGTGCAAATTATCCGAAATTGTTTGGAGAGTCTGGAGAGTCTCTCGCCTACGAACTTCCAACCAAATCAATAGCTGCATACGGTGGCTTGCGTTTGGCATGACAAAGAGTACTGCGGAAAGCCGGAGTGTTAGTCAGGTGAGCCGCACTAAGGGCCACGCAACAACCAAGGACTGGGTGCTAGTAGACAACTAGTCACAGCAAAGCACTTTGAAAGCATCGACCCTCTGCCCCGTGCCCAAAGACTCTTTCGCAGAGAAGACAGAAAGAACTTGTGCCATGAGACGGGTGGTCTCGACAAAAGTTCGCAACTGCGTCAAAAGGCAACCCCGAAGGGTAAACCAATCCGGGGAGTTGAACCAAATCCGGGGATCTACGTGCATGTCCATGTGGCTCAAAATGAGTGCCTGTTTTCAGCTTTCCTCTAATTGGTGGTTTGATGGCTAAGGAGGGGGTTCCCATTTGCCCTCCACAAGAACCGGTCGTTCAAATCCCCAAACCACCAATCCAAACCACCAACCAAGGGTTACCTGATGCTTTGGCAATTGTGGCAACATTTGTTGGCAGCGATGCGGTCTGCCATCGAGCTTGCCCAGCACTTGCCCAGTAGCCATTGGAAACAAACGGGGTGCCTACAGTAATGTATGATGGAATTTGCTCATCTTGGAGGATAGACAACTAGGAACAACTGGGTGGCGTCCCTTTTCATCCTTTTCAACATGGGCACACAAGACAGGGGCCACAACACTTCAGTGGGTCAGTTTGTTTTTGATCCCTCTTCCCACCGCGTTCCAATCCAGTCCAAAAGGGGGGCCTCACTGCCGTTCACCCAGTACTCGAACCGGAAGCGCATTTGGATGTGGTCAATCCTCGGCCCGGAAGTGGGCGTCCAACTCGATTCTCGGAAGTGTCTGAAATGAATCCTCCCCAGTTCCGTGTGGCCATGGATCAAAAGCCAAACCGTACCCCCAGTGAACATCCCAATCCCCACTAAAATAGACTAAAATGGGTGGTGAATTCACCTACCCCCAAAGTGGTACCATTGGTTTTGACCCACAGCCATGTAGCTGCAAAACAGGTGACGCAGCTAACAACCTCGAAAACTCATGAACGTGGCTGGTTACTCATCGGTTCCCGCGATCAGGGCTCTTGAAAGCGTAGGCTTGGGCCAATGTCCACTAAACCCACACCAGGGCCGGGGTTCTCGGATGGGGGCGGTGAGGCCCGAGAGCGATGCGCCAAGGTCTGACATCACATATTGTGATCTATAGTGCGGAAACTGGTGGCTTTCCTCTTGGTTGCCGTTTAACAAAAACCAAGGTGAACAAAACAAGAACAAAATAGCCCCCCCAAAAACACACACACACACACACACACACACACACACACACACACACACACACACACACACACACACACACACACACACACACACACACACACACACACACACACACACACACACACACACACACACACACACACACACACACACACGCGCATGGACAAGGCAGCAGTTCCGGGTTCATCTGTTGCTGAAGCCTCACGGAGGTCATGCTCAGCCTATTCCAGCCGCTTCTGGAAGGGCTGTTTCCAAACGCTGCCTTGCTTGGGTGGACCAAGTGGGCTCACTTTCCTACGGTGAAAGCCATCAGCTAAGACTCAGTTTTTCAGTGACCCTGGAAAAAAAAGGAACTTTTTTGGGGGAAGACAATTTTTAGTGGGGCAGCCACCCCAAAACAAGGGTAAACAGGGTGCCACTGAACAACTCAGAAGATTATACGAGTACAACCCGTATCGCGACACATGGAGCTCAGCGGCACTGAATAGTTCAAGCGCTTGGACAGTGCCGCCATCTGGCAGACGTCCATGGAATATGCTGGTAGAGGAAGCACAGCATCATAGAATTCCTGCCGAGATAGGGGCAAATTCGCCGAGGAGTCCACACCAACGCAAAGTCACCCCATGCTGCCCTAGAGAATTGACCTGGTATGGTCGTTCAAGCATAAGATGGCTTCAGCTGGAAACAAACATGATTGTGAAAGAACTAGAGAAAGAACTAGAGAAAGAACTAGAGAAAGAAAGAAAGAAAGAAAGAAAGAAGGAAGGAAGGAAGGAAGGAAGGAAGGAAGGAAGGAAGTGGAAAAAAAACCAGTAAATAACGGAACAACTACGTAAATATAATGGGGCAAACAAGTAATTAGAGCCAGAATTAGCGGCTTGCCCTCGCCGCTGTCACGGCAATCGGATCAACCACAAGTCTGAGTGAAACACAAACTCCGAATGATAGCTTGCAAAATCGCCAACAAGGGAACCTTCCTACGAGCCTGGACAAGCTTATCTCCAAGGCCTTTGGTCCACAAACGTTCCTTGCCTAAAGTCTTAGGCCCCCGGTTGCATGAAATCCAAAATTCGGCCGTGAAGCGCTTCAGCCAACTTCGTTTCAACGACCTCCGGTTCACTTGGTTGACGTTGGAAGGGGAGCAAAAATCTAAATTGTAGCAGTTAAGTGGGGATTTCCCACTAAACCACAATTTTGCAAAAATGTAAAATGTTTCCCAACAACAACCAAGTTAAGGGCTTCCCTTGAATCCTCAATCCAATTTGCCGACGCCCAAAACGCGGGTCTTGGATTGGAACCCCGTCCGTCTGATCCGCAGTTTGTAGCTCCGTGCGCAAGCTGAGCGTGGCCAAGGCCACGTAACCACAGAACCTCGGAGCTTTCCCAAGACCGAGGAGCTAAACAAACAAAGCTTGTGATGCCTCAAGGCTTCAAAGGTTTGCTAAGAACTTGAAGTCAAATTGCGAAGCTGCCAAACATTGCTCTCTTGTGATCACTCGATGTTTCAAAGAACCCTGAATGGGGTTCACGTGGGCATGACGTGATGCAGGATTCCTCCAAAATCACACAACCCTCCTGTAACAGGCAAATTAACAAAGAACCCCACCTCAAAAACAAGTTGCATGTTTAGTGACACATCTATATAGGAAACCCCGTTTTGGGGTCCATTGTAGCTTATGGGGGGTGAGGGCTCTGGTATCCTTTCCTCTGGATTTCGCGTTCAGTACACAATCTGACGCGGATTGAATTTGGAGGTGGAATACTTACCGACAACGGGCTGAAAAGGCGACCCTGGTCAAAGCACCATGTAGAACTGCCTTAAAGTAGTGCAAACCCCAACATGAGTGGTGTTTTGCATGAGCGGGTTCCTTGGTGTTCACTTTAAAAAGCAAGCTTGAATGGCTCTTGAGGGAAAATGGGAAACTCTGGCATCAAGATGGGCAGGTTCCTCAAAATACCAACGTCAACAACCTTGGACAGAAGCTAGTCTCTGGATCAGACATGCATGCAACAGAGAGAGTTTGCAGCTAACTACTTTAACTACTTTGGCTGTCAAGGCGTCAACCCCTTAGTCCTAAACTCAGCGGATCTAGGTTCCAACCTGCGCTCCTATAGGCTTGCTCGGTCCGGAGCTTAAACAAAAACGGAAGAAACCTCAAAGCCCCCCCCCCCCCACTCCCCCACTCCCCAGGAAGTCTTAGAACCTTGGAAGGCCGCGCGCAATCGCGCGCAATGCCGTGGCTTTCCAGACTGTCAGTTCCATGCAGTCGGCCCAGGCCGGCCCTCGAGGCACTTTTCAAACAAAGCTCTTGAGAAGTCATGGGATGTCAACCGCCGGCGGAGGTACGGAGGTGCTGCATCGACTGCGACTCAAAGCCCTGCTCCATGCGGGTTGTGCCTATGTGTGTTACAAGTTGATCAAAGGGTCCGGTAAGCATGGGATGACCATTGGTTGGAAAACTAACGGAAATATGATGCGCTCCACATTTGAGGGCCAGGAATAGTGATCAACCCCTATATTAACAAAAAAAGGCACTGGGAGCACTCACATCCGAGGAGCACCGCCAGCAGCAAGAACCACACCAGCCACGCGCAGCGCGCATCGTTGGGGTTCTCAAAGGAGCTCCACTTGGGCGGAAGCATCGCTTAGCTACTAGGCAAGAGTCAAGCAACCAGGCTGCCAGGAGACGTGGCAAAAGATTGTGCTGTAACTGCATTATCCAGACTTGCCTTGTGGCTTGTTAAATCACTTCAACCCTTGGCACTTTGGGGCAGAAATGACTCCCACTGGTCCAGCTCACAATCGTCTATATGGAAGGCCTAAGACTAGAACGTGATCTTGAGGCGGCGGTCGAGTCCGGCACGGGTGAACTGCGAAAGATTCATCAACTTACCCCCATTGAAGGGCTCCACACAGCGAGTGCCCTTCTATCCCCCAATTCGGCCGCTGTAAGTCGCTCAAACTCTGCCTAAAATGAGTCATAGTTAAATTTGGTAACAAGGTCCATGCCAAAAAAGAAGTGCCATGTACTCAAAAGAATGGATGTCCGCACTTAGAAATGGATGAGATTAACCCCGACTCAGCTTCAGGCCCAGGTTGATTCTGCGAGTTAGCCAGGCTGAGCTTACTCGACCAGCTAAGGTCCTGAAAAGAAGGCCCTACAATACACTCCTGTTGCTTACCATCTGCCCAACATAGCAACATGATGGACACGTAGATGCAAACCGGAGGGTTGGCCATGAAAACCAGTACTAGGGATATCCCTGGCGTACCCGGGCATGAAGATTGCTTAGCAGTCAACCCTGGCCATCCTGGTTGGAATTGCCTTTCTGGGGACCCCCTTGCAAATTCTTGAGTCACCCGAGAGGTGCCTGAGATACGAGGGCCCTTTGAGCCAGCCATTGAGGAAACTTTGAGAGGACCCTCTCAAAGGGTGCAGGTTAGTTTGCAGGAAATGCATCCATTGGTTGCAGAGAGGCTGCACCCCGCTTTTCCTTGGGTGTGGTGATGTGTGGAGCTAGTAGAAGCCGGAAAGCATGTCCTAGCTTGCAAGCCAGTAGCAGAGTATGATTTGATCAGGAAATGTGTCATAGAATTGAGAATTGTCACCGCGTGCACGCGGTGACGAACCAAAATCAATCTCAACTAGACTCTACTAGACGGTTCCTAGGGTTTGGTGCCCTTTGAGGATGGCTTTTGAGCGGAAACAGGGGATCAAAGCACCTCTTGCGAAAGCCGCTCGCTTTTTCGATCGGCATTTGGGAAGGCTTTCCGTCTGTGCACTGACACCCCAGGTCGGTCTTGGTGACCAGCCCCGGGATCCTTGAAATGGCTAAACGTCCAACGTGTTCGAGCGTACACTTCTTGCTCGTTCTTGTCTTGTTGTTTATTTTTTGGTCGGGGGGTGTTACAAAGAGAAACCATGATAATTTGTAATTTGTGAGTTTCCCTTGCTTGAGGACACATTTAGCAAGCCTTGACCAAGTCACCACTTGCGTCAAGCAAGCACACCAGGCTGACGTTCCTGAAGGCTGGTCATGGACAGCAATCAACCAGCCTCAGGGGTCACCTTCGCGCTTGAGGAGAGGCTCATCCTCTTCTTCAGTGCCAAGACCGAGGCAGGGCAGGTGCATCAAAAGGTGGTACCTCACCGCGCTCTCCGGCTCGAACTCTTGTTCCTGTTGTTAGTAGGGGCAGAAAATGGTTTGCGGCAGTTGCGTGTCTCTCACTTGTGCTTCGAAAACATGTTTGTTTTGTGCGTTGCGTTGCTTTTCTCACTTGTGGGACATATTATTCACAACCTGCCTTTGGCTCAAAGGGTGGCAACTGATGTTGGCAACCAAAGAGGGATCCCAGGTTTGCTGCATAACTTGCTGCCAAAAGGCCAAGGGGTAGATGCTGAACCCCTTGCCCGACTAAGTCTAGAAGTGGAAACCGCAAACTGGTCTCCATGCGCTTCAGATGAGGGTCTATGCTAGAAGGGGCGGGGGCAAGGTTGAGCCAAGCTTGATTGAACATTTAATTCATGTTGTAACACCCCTGTTGGGACGGTCAGGGTCTGCATTTATAGGCGATGCTTGCTCAACCCAAGAGCTTCAGGCTGGCAACGTCCGCAATCACGACGCTCTCCTAGGAACCACAAGACCTTCTTCTTGATAGACTTGCAAGTAGGCGCATCTTGCGCGGAGGGTCCTCAAAGCGCTTAAAGCAACAAGTTGTTTTTTTCCG